TATGAACCAGAAGGTCACGGTTCAATTCCCAGTCCAGGCACATGCCCACATTGCAGGCTCGATACCCATGTGGGGTGTGCAGGAGGCAACCTATCAATGATTCTCTCTCATCACTGAAGTCCTCTCTCTCTCTCTCTCTCTCTCTCTCTCTCTCCCCCTCCCTCCCTCTCTTCCTTTCTGAAATCAATACAAAATATATGTATAAAATAAATAAACTAAGTTGTATAACAGCCAAATCTCTCCCCTTAAAAATGCTGCCTTCTTCAACTCTATAGAGACAGAATGTAGACCCGTGGTTGCCTGGGCTATGAGAAATCAGGGATCCACTGCAAATGGGCAAAAGGGAATTTTGGAGGTGATGGACATGTTCTAAAACTAGCTTGTGGTGATGATATATATTTATAAAATGTCAAGTTTTCAAAATTAGCAAATAAAAACGGGACATTCCGTTAAATTTGAATTTTAGATAAATGACAAATAATATTTTTAGTGGATGTATGTCCTAGATATTGCATGGGACATACTTATACTAAAAGAGCATGTGTTGTTTATCTGAAATTCAAATTTAACTGGCAATCCTAACTAAAAGTCATTACAGTGTGCGGTTAGAATGGGTATATTTTATGGGCCTGCAAATTATACTTTGGTGTTAAATTTAGCACAGTGCCTACAGTAGTTTTGTTGATTAAGAAAAGCACAGCTTTTCCTCCCATATACCCTCTCCCTCCCTCCCCTCTCTCACCCCTGGCAAAATGCAACTATAAAGGACCACCCCACCACCCCAGGAACCCAAAGAAGCCAACAGTGTAGGAAATCGAAACAGTCGCCATAGCTTTGTTTTCCTGGGGCTTGGAGCCCGCAGAGGGACAGATCCCAAGATCAGAAACACACAGACTCTAATTGCTGGGTGATCCTAGCCCTATAATCACCTCCCCCCACCCCCTCATTAATTGTCACCCAGCAATTCAACTCTCACCAGCTTGGCGGCCAGCCACCGACTGCCCAGCCTGGACTGCCCAGCACAAGCTGGGCAGGGGGCTGCACAAATGAGTGTGTCGCTGCCCTGCTCTCAAGTACTATCTTAAGAATTGAAGCCCAGTACCTAGCCACCTGCCAACATACACACTAAGAGCAACAGAGAACAAGTACACTTACTTCTCTCTGCTAGGGAAGAGAAAGTTTTTCACCTTCTCCAAGAAAATGAACTTCCTATACTGTATCTGTGGGGTTTGCCCAGAATTGCATTGTGCAATCAGGAAGAGAATGTCAGTTATCTTATTAGAATTAGCACAGTTAATGCTTTGTCCGTAGTAACTATCGTTGCCCCTGAACAACACGGGTTTGAGCTGCAAGGCCCGTGTATCCTCGTATCTTTTTTCAATGTCCCTTCATATCCCTGGATTTCGCATTCACAGATTCAACCAACTTCTGAACAAAAACAGTATTTTCTCATTCCCCAATGGCAGATTCCTAACTATGGATGGAAAATACTGTTTTCAATCCTCAATTGGTTGAATCCCTGAGTGCAAAGTGCCAACAAGATTTCCTACTGTGCAGGGGTCAGTTCCCCTAATTTCTGAGTTGTTCACAGGTAAACTGTACATACAAAGCCAAATTCTGACCAACGGTCAAAATTGATAATCTGGTTTTTGGTTTTTCTTAATCCTCACTTGAGGATATTTTTCCATTGATTTTTCAGAGAGAGTGGAAGGGAGAGGGAGAGACAGAGAGAAAGAAATATCAATATGAGAGAGACACTTCAATTGTTGCCTCCCACATACAACCCGACCAGGGTCGGGAGCCTGCAATCAGGTACGTGCCCTTGACTGGAATCGAACTGGGGACCCTTCAGTCATCGGGCTGATGCTCTGTCCACTGAGACAAACCAGCTAGGGCAACAGTATTATTATTATTATTATTATTATTATGACTAAATTTCTTCAATAAGCATTTCAATTCATTTATCCCCACTGACTTGAAATAGGGTATTTCTGAAGGAAGCTCTTACTTTTTTTTTTTTTTTTTTTTTCAAATGAATTAAAAGAAAAGCAAGCAAAAATAGTCTTTACAGGCAGAAAAAATGGGCTGGTGGGTTCCTTTCCAGGCCCATTTGAAACTACAGAAATTTGACAACAGCGCCATCTAATGGAAGATTAGAAGGTTAAACAAAAACAAAAACAAAACACATTTTTTCTTTCAAATTTGTTTTAGCAAGCAACTTCTGCTAAATACCTTTTTATCAGCTTTGGATGTCCCCGTTATTTATGTCACCTTAAAGTTATAATTTTTAAAAAATATTTTATTGATTTTTTACAGAAAGGAAGAGAGGGATAGAGAGTTAGAAACATCAATGAGAGAGAATCATCTATCAGCTGCCTCCTGCACACCCCCTACTGGGGATGTGCCCGCAACCTTGGTACATGCCCTTGACCGGAATCGAACCTGGGACTTTTCAGTCCGCAGGCCGATGCTCTATCCAATGAGCCAAACCAGTTTCGGCTTAAAGTTATAATTGATAGCAGGAATATACCATTGATGTAAAAAAAAAAAAATGTATATGAGAATAGTATAAAAATATTGAAAACTTCTCTATTTATTTCTCTAGACATATATACATATGCATTAATGAACAAATACATAAACATCTCTATATTTATATGTGTATACATATACTTTATAAATAAATGGGCGCTGTTATATATTTTCAGCAACATGGTGGGGTTTTTTTGCTATCTCTCTCTGATAGAAACATTACCTCATTGATGTTTCCCTTTCTCTCTGAAATCAATAAAAATATTTTTAAATAATAATAATAATAATAATACTTCTGTATACCTTATAGCAGTTTTATAGGGATTAGAATTATAGGTATTACACAAAGACAATGTAAGATCTGCGTGCGGCTTAGACAACAGGAAGGAATATAGTACCTTTCCTGTTTGTATGACTATATTTATTGTTATTACAATCTTACCAATATGGTGAGTTACGGTGGACCATGAGAAAGTGTGTTTGGCATCATTTGGGTCCCCAGGGATGTGCCCCATCCATGTACAAACTTTGTTTTTTTCCATTTACGCTATCACTTCTGACTTATTGTGTAACTTTTAAAATATTACGTCCCTTTTCCTGGGGCCTCACTGAAGTGCTCCTAGCAACGTTTACTAACAGCTGCAAGTTGCACTTCCTCTGGTTTCCTCTGCTATAGTTGTGTCTAAGCTGTGGTCTGCGAGCTTCCTGCCCCAGCTAAAAAGTTCCAGACACACAGATGACCCAGCCATGTCAGCTTTTCTGAAAGGCCCCAGTCTTCTCAGGCACAATGGCTCTCAGGGCCCAGCCCCACCCTCTGCCCAGGCACAGATGGATAAGATGCTGGCTAGTAAAGTGTCAAGAATAAAATCTCCAACTCCCTTAGCAGAAACTCTGGCATTCCCAGGGGCATCTTACCAGAGATCCAATTTGTGGGGTTCTTTCCCTTCCTTTAGTGAAAGAAATTGCCACTAATATCACAATGTGAAAATCACCATCTATTACTGAGTGCCGTCTTTCTTAGGAGAGTTGGTGCCCAGTAGTAAATTTGACTGTCAGAGGAAATTAGGGCCTTTTGCAAACTGAGGGCTACATGAGAGGATTTGCTTCCAGACAGTAGTGGGCAGCCAGGGAAGAAGGAGGAGTGGCAGCAGCTGGCCCGCCTCCGTTCAGACCTCAGTGGTGGCTATCACCATACTTGATAGTAGAGGTTGGAGAATGTCCTAGAACAGGGGTGGGAAACCTTTCTTCTGCCAAGGGTCATTGGATATTTATAACATCATTCATGAGCCATACAAAATTATCAACTTAAAAATTAGCTTGGTATATTTGGTCAAACATGTAATTAACTTACCCCTAATACCTGGGCAGGGCCAAACCAAATGGGTCTTATGTAGCCCTCGGGTCGAACGTTCCCCACCCCTATCCTAGAACAACCCATACCCGGGCAGGGACCTGGCTTCCCCACAGAGAGGGCACCTGGCCACAGGAACGTGAAAGACCTACAAGGCCAACCCTGGGTGACAATAAGAACCAGTAGCCCAAGTGGCCCAGTCACAGTTCCCTCCACTTGGGAAGCCCCTCAGCACTTCCCAGGCCCCACCTCAGAGTGGCAACACCAGAATATGTGGTTTTATCTGTGTACACTTCACAGAGCCAAGAGAATTCTGCATCAGGTAGAAGTGAACCACAGTACATTCTGGGATGTAATTTAGAGACTCTGAGACAGCTGAGGCCCTTGTTAAAATTTAGAGTCCCAGGTTTCACCCCCAGTAAGTGTGGAATAGGGCCTAGGAATTTACATTTCACAAAATCAGGCTTTTCTTTTTTTTCTTTTAAATATATTTTATTGATTTTTTACAGAGAGGAAGGGAGAGAGATATAGAGCCAGAAACGTCAATGAGAGAGAAACATTGACCAGCTGCCTCTTGCACACCCCCCACCAGGGACATGCCCGCAACCAAGGTACATGCCCTTGACTGGAATCGAACCAGGGACCCTTCAGTCCGCAGACCGACGCTCTACCACTGAGCCAAACCGGTTTCGGCAAAATCAGGCATTTCTGATGCCATGCTTGTGTATGTCTGCTCTAGACACTCAATATTTGTTTCCCAAGGCTAAAGCAAACTTCCATTAAGTTCCTTTTGATATAGGCCAAATCCAAAGAGAGATGATCAGGTGGGTTTTCAAAAGACAACAGTCATATTTTTATCCCTCTCCCCCCCACCCCCTCCCCCAGCCCCACAAACACACAGTTCAACTTCTCTTCCAACTTGAGTTGGCCCAACTTCCCACATCTCTCTCTCTTCTTACAAGAAGTCACTGAGGAACAACCAGTCGTATTATGCCAAGCTTACGCAGGCAACTGTGAACTCTATAAGTTGGTCTAAAAGAAAGAAGTTCTCTAAGTGACTCACCACTATGGTGCCACCACACCTCCTTTGGCCTCTTCTCCAATTTCACTCCGGAGAATGCGGAGCCATATGAACAGACAAGGGCATTTTTCTTCTGTCACATCTAAAGCTTGCATCTCAAAACCAAACTGTGATGTGGAAAAAAAGTTTTTTGGGGTTTCTTTTCTCTCTTTTGACTCTAAAAGCAGAACTGGATTCTAAGACAATGAAAAAAACAAACAGTAAGTTTCATTTACTTCTCTCTTGTACTAAAACCGTCTTCACCAAAACAGTGGATGGTCAGCTTTAAACATGATCTTTCATGAATAAGTTTTTCTATGCTTTTAGATGAATAACCAGAGTAAAGTCTTTTCTATTACCTGCTGTTTAAAATGAAGTGATTTTAGGGAGGGGGTTGGAGTATCTTTCCTGAGACTGAGAGATAAATTATTGTTAATTGTTAGGCGTGATAACGGTAATTGTTATGTTCACAAAAGAGTCCATATCTTTTAGCGATTCAAACTACCAATATCCTCCAGCCAAAGATCACCAGGGATACCCATGTAGTTGAACAAAGTTGGTTTGGGGAGAAAATGTATACCAAGAAAATCATAGGATCTCTCAGTAGGAGGATGATAGAAAGGTCTTATGATAAGATTTAGATCTGTATTAGGTGGTTTGGAGGAAGATTCAAAGCAGCAGTTTCTACTCTGGATTGGATCCAATTAGAAAATGGAAATAATGATATAATTAGGTATATCAGTAATTCTGATCTATGTCCAGACATGGTTATGGAGTTGTCTTGTTTTTGTCTTGATCCATCATGGTCATAAAGTGGCCTTGTTTGGTATTGTATTCTAGCTGTGAGTGACAGATAAGTTCCTAGCCAGGCCAGTCCCCAACAGTCAGGGACTATTTTTCTCTTTCTCAAAACTGAAATTTATGGATGCAATAACATGCGGTCTGGTATTTTCTTTAAAATAATGGAAAGGGGTGGGAGGCAGATGAAGTAGGATGGACCATGAGTTGATCGTTATTGAAGCTGGGTGATAGGTCCATGAGGGATCATTGTACTCTCTTTTCTACTATTATTTTGAAAGTTCTTATTTTCCAAAATAAGGAATTTAAAATAAATAATGGACAGACATAAGGTTGGCTATAGAACCTAGAACTTTAATATTTCTAAGTCAGCATAGCCATCTTTATTGGGTCCACTTCAGGCTCTTACTGGCCAGAGAGATAGCAAGCACAAAAAGGTTTGTCGAGGCCACCATCTCTCATTGGGTGGGGCCTCTGTAGGCCTGAGACTTCCTCACACACTGATCAGCCAGGCTGTGTAGGCAAGAAACGCCCACTTAGGAAAGTTTGCCAAGAGCATTATCTCCACCACTTTGATCCACAAAATGTGGCCAGACAATCATTATCAAGGGACATTAACAAGAACTTTCTCTTATGTTATGTTGTTTTCCAGAATGCACGTCTCCAAGTTTGTACTCAGAAACAAATATAGTTGTAAAGGGTCAAAATGTATCTCTAAGTTGTTCCCACCAGAACCAATCACTACAAATCACCTTGTTTCGGGAGAAGAATTGCATAGGAACCATCCAGGAGAGCAAAGGAAAACCCGTGATTTTTAACCTAAGCATCTCAGAAGCCCGGGATTTGGGGCCCTACAAATGCAAAGCTGTATTTTCCAACTGTTCAACCTACAGTCCCGAGTTCAACTTCACAATTGTGGGTAAGAAGAGCACTCGTTCCACAGGCCCCTCTTCTATTCTATAATGGTCTCTCTGTTCCCTTTGCAAGCACTCACTTGAGAGTCTGAAAAGTATGTCACTGAGACCTTTATTCTTAACTAGAAGCCCTGTGCATGAATTTGTGCACAGGTGGGGTCCAGCCGGCCCTCCCCAATTGGGGCAATTGAGTGGGGCTGGTGGGAGGGAGGGGCTGAGGGTGGTTGGTCAGTTGGCCCCGCCTCCCAATCAAACTCCCAGTCAAGGGGATAATTTGCATATTAGTCTTTTACTATATAGGATAATTCCATTTCACTTTCTCCCCAAAGACTTTTTGGCTATTTCAGATGATAATAGGCTGGTTATCTAAGACAAAAAGTCTTACATCAATGATTTGGAAAGTTGTTGAAATCTTTTCTAGAGGTTTTACTCTAGGATTCCCATCAGCTAGGCAAAAATGACTTTTTTCTCTGCAGATTAGAGCGAGAAGTCTGAGAATCAATGTTGGGCCTGGTGGCAAGGGTCTCTAAAGCCCCAGGCTTTGCCCACCTCTTCCCTTTGCAATGACCACCCACCAGCCCATGTTCTTCCTGCCCAACCACATCTTATTGATTCTATATATTTCTCTCCCATATCCCACCCTAAGCCTCTCACAACCTGGCATTAATGGGCTCCTCTATAAAGGTGACCTTGATAATAAACTCCCGGGAGAGAGGGTTTCCAGGTATACATGTACAGTGTGCCTGGATTCTTCTAAACATAGATGCTCTGATGCTGGCAAAATCTTGGAGCAGTTCCCTAGATCTATATTCTCCGTTATGTTAGCCATCAGTCACACATGGCAATTTAAATTTAATATTTAATCAAAATTAGATGGAATAAAAAAACATAGTTCCTCAGTCTCCTTAGTCACATTTCAGGTGTTCAATAGCCATAGGTGGCTGCCATATTAGACACTACAGACATAGAACATTTCCATCATTACAGAATGTTCTATTGGACACCTCTGGTCTAGGTCAGTGGTTCTTAGCTCTTTAGATTATAGCCGTTTTAACAATCTAATGATAGAGCGGTCACTGGCCTTTCCCAATGGTTGCAAGCTTCTTGACTTCTCAGGAAGGGGGTCCATCATCCCTGGGACCACTTCAGGGAATAGAGTAGGGTTTTGATCCACATTTGTGGACTGGGTGAGTGAACCCAATCTGTATCCCTGTAACATGCGCTTTCATTTTTCTAGACCCAGTGACCACTCCAGTGCTGAAAATTGTCATTCAAAAACAGCCAAACCTTTATATAACACTAAGCTGCATGTCCTTCAACGGTTCTCTGCCCATCAATTATACTTTCTTTAAAAAGGGCATTGCCTTGTCACCAGTTATTTCCAAGCACGTAAGGGAGTCTGCTGAATTTGATTTAACCAAGAGCAACACCAGAGAAGGGGAAGAGTATAGTTGTGAAGCTAAAAACAGCCTTCCTGACTATGCAAGACGCAGTCATCCCGCCACCATGCCTTCAACAAGTAAGGACTACCTGAGCTCTTTCAACAGGGTCTGGATTTGCTTCCAGAAACTTCTCCTGCCAGTCCACTTCCCACTTTGGCCACCTGCTTCCAAGTGCTTTTCCTTTGGTAGGGTCCATACAAACTGTGATGGGATTGCTTTCTGCCATAAAACAAAACAAAACAAAACAAAAAGTCATAGAAAAGCCTAGACACTGTGGCAGAAAGGGACCTTGCAATGAGACTTTCTGACTGGACCCTGCTTCCTGCCTCGACCTTCCTCTGCCTGGGTTCTGAGCAATCACACTAGAATTTGCATCTCTCGCCAGAGACCGGTTTGGCTCAATGGATAGAGCGTCGGCTTGGGGACTGAAGGGACCCAGGTTCGATTCCGGTCAGGGGCATGTACCTTGGTTGCGGGCATATCCCCAGTAAGGGGTGTGCAAGAGGCAGCTCATCGATGACTCTCTCTCATCGATGTTTCTAACTCTCTATCTCTCTCCCTTCCTCTCTGTACAAAAATCAATAAAAATATATTAAAAAAAAAAAAAAAAAAAGAATTTGCATCTCTCTTGGAGCCGCCAGGTCTTTTTTTCTTTTGCTTTTTTGGTGACTTCTAATGCCTACTTGGCTGTTTATTGCCCCACTGCTAACACTTGGTAAGTCTAGACTTTCAGGGTGACTCTTGGGGCAAGAGGGGCCCCTGTCCCTTTCCTGGGTTTTGGAGGGTACTGCTCTGGTGTATCTTGGCCATGCACATTCCCACAGGCTGAGGGTGGGAATATGCCCACCTGGACCCTGTATCCCCACTGTTTTACACCAAACCTGTGTCCAAATTCCCTACCCAATCAGATCAGAACCCACCCACAGGGCCCGGCAAGTCTCTTTCCCAGTTCATCCTCCCAAGGGTGGACCACAGTGAGGATTACTGAACCCAAGCTAAGGGAGCTGTTTGTGGGGGTGTAAATGGCATTTGGACATGCAGGTTAGGGTCCACATGCATGCAAGGCCCCTCAGGGTGCAGGACAGAGCCTGGGTGGGAAGGGGGGTCAGACTGGAAATGGGGGTCAGACTGGAACTGGGGCTGGCTCTCACCTATGCTGCCATGTTCCAGTACAGAACTCCAAAAAGCCTGCGAATTCTAGTTTCAAACCTGGCCAAAAGGTAGGTTAGCAAAGGCAATAGGCACACTTGGAAGTAGCACTCCCCCAGGCCTCAATCCTCAGAAGAGCCCACACCCTAGCTTTAAGTCCTAAAGAGCGAGGCAGTCTGTGGGAGTCAGACCCCAGAATCAGGCTTTTGCCCACAAATCACAGCCTTCCTGCCTCCTAGGTGTGTGACCTTGAGAAAGTCACTTGACTCTTTCTGAAGCCTTACGCTACTCATTTGTACAACGGGAGTGACACTAATAAGACAAATAAGACAATGCATGTGAAGTGCTTAACACAGTGTCTGACATGCAGCTAATAATAAATGGTAGCCGTTTGGGTGCCATAAATTATGCCAACATGACTAACGGCTTTGTCCAATAAATGGCCAGGCCATTCGGAAGCTTATTGTAGCCACATTCTGATCTGTTCAATGCTGTGTTGTCTCCTTGTGTGACACCTGTGGAAGATGCAACTTGGTTGTGACTTTAAGAACTTCACTGGGAATTGCAGATGTCCACAGCAGTGCAGGGAGAGGGTGCACAATACATTGGTTACCATGGAAACGATCACTGTTTCCAGAACCATTCACAGTCCACCGTCATTAGGAAAGAAAGCTGTGCGCTGACCGGTGAATGCCATCTTCCTCCAGGTGGAGACGGCTGTCCACTCTGCCTGCAGCTACTGCTTCCGCTGCTGATGCTAATTGTAATCCTACTTCTGGCATTTTGGATTCGACAGAAGTACAAAGCCAGTAAGTTCTATTGGAGCTTTTCCATTGTTTTCCACGGGTTTTGGATACAGACCAAAGGGGAGGTGAGGAGGAAGGGAAAGGGGAATCAGAAATGGATGTGAAGAAATATAAAGAGAAGAAAAAGCTGAGAAAGGGGAAGGTAAATGACAGATTTGCTGTTGTTATCGAGTAAGAGCTTTTCTCATCTGGATTGCTCAACGGTGTGGCCCTGTGCAGTCACACAAGGCCTGGGCTAAGAAGAGCCCCACGCTTGGTTTAATGCTCCATGCTGTCACTGGCTTGAAATTCTTAATACTTTTCACTTTTTAAAATTACTTTTTTAAAATATGTGTATTTTTATTGATTTCAGAGAGAGAGAGAGAGAGAAACATCAATGATGACAGAGAATCATTAATTGGCTGCCTCCTGCACACCCCCTATTGGGGATCAAATCTCAACCCAGTCATATGTCCTGACCGGGAATCGAACCATGACCTTCTGGTTCATAAGTCGACAGTTATGAACCTGTCTCCCTTCCTACAAAAAGCCTGAAGTTTTGCAAAAGTGGAATTAATATTCTTTGCGTTGAGTACTGGCCACAGCTAAAGAGAATTCAGCTGGGTAATTTACTATCTCTTGCAGATATTACAAAGCTTTTGACAGACTGTTCTTTTCAGCGAAGGAAAAAAAAAAATGGGTCTCTGGCCTAAACCAGTTTGGCTCAGTGGATAGAACGTTGGTCTGTGGACTGAAAGGTCCCAGGTTTGATTCCGGTCAAGGGCATATACATTGGCTGCGGGCACATCCCCAGTAGGGGGTGAGCAGGAGGCAGCTGGTCGATGTTTCTCTCTCATCTATGTTTCTAGCTCTCTATCCCTCTCTCTTCCTCTCTGTAAAAAATCAATAAAAATGTATTTTAAAAAAATGGGTCTCTGGCCATCTTAAGCGTAATCTGATAGGCAAAGGATGTCACTTGCAGAGCTGGGAGAATAAATCAGGAGGGTTCTGGCTTGGGAAAGCAGATGCTATGGTCTCTTACTGGGACCACAGTTTTCCTTCAATAGACAACAAGGCCATTGGAGCAGCTCATTGTTTGTTTCAGAACTTTAGGGAATTCTGCTCCTTGGCAGAGGAGATCAGAAAAATGTGGCTGAATTGGTTTAATTCAATTAATTTTGCATAATTTACATAGGAAAAGCTATGAGAAATAAAGCATCTACAGACTATGGAAATACACCCACAGAAGTTGGAATATATGCCAATGTCCATGAAGATCAATTAGGTAAGATAACTTTTTTGGGTATTCTCATTTGTTTGGTTAGTTGGTTTTCATCTTATTTTTTAAAGGTCATACAGACACACAGGTACAATGTTTCCTTCCCACCCCTGATGCCCAGTCCCACTTTCCAGAGACAACAATCAGTTTTTTAAATCTTTCTACAGATAGTCTATGTGTGTGCTGACTTCTAACCACAGGGCAGAAATGGCAGTGTGTCACAGAGAAGCTATTCTACATCTTGATTTTTTTTTCACTAAACAACAGATCTTGGAAATTTTTTAATATCAGTTTAGAATGATCTTCACTGTGCCCCAAATCCTTTTATGATCACTTAAAAAAGATTTTTTTATTGATTTCAGAAGGGGAGGGAGAGGGAGAGATAGAAATATCAAAGATGAGAAAGAATCATTGATTGGCTGCCTTCTGCACACCCTGCACTGGGAATTGAGCCCATAAACCAGGCACATGCCCCAACCAGGAATCTAACCGTTATCCCGTTTCACAGGTCAATGCTCAACCACTGAGCCATGCCGGTTAAGCACCTTTTTTTTTTTTTTTTTTTTTTTAATTGATTTAAGGGAGAGAGAGAGAGATAGAAACACTGATTTGCTGCCTCCTGCAGGCCCTCTACTGGGAATCAAGCCCCAAACCGGGCATGTACCCTGACTGGGAATTAAACTGGTGACCTCTTGGTGCATGGGATAATGCTCAACCAATTGAGCCACACTGACTGGGCTATGATCACCTCTTAAAGCAGCCATCACACAAGGCTTTATGGTCAACAGACCCACAGCCTTGGCCAACAAGAACAAATCCAGTCCACACTGACTGAGGGCCAGCCGTGTTCCAGGCACAGTGCTAAGTAATTTACCTGCCCTGTCCAACATAAACAGCCCTAACTCCCAATCTATGCCGTTCCCATCTTACAGATAAGGAGTCAGTGCCAGGCGTGGCACCAAGACAGTGTGTTTCCACAGCCCAAGAGGGTAAGCACTCCCTGCAAAGTCCAGAGGCTACGTGCCATTGCGAGGGCAGCCAGCTGAGCCACTGCCCTTGAGTGACCAGGGGTTCAGCTCATAGGCCCAATAACTCTGTTTCTTGTCTTTTGTCCAGAAACTGAACAGATACATTATGCCACCCCCATGTTCCTGGAGGTGACACCAGGTGAGCCACAGTGTGGGATAAGAGATACTGGTGAATGAGACAGTGGTCCCTGTGAGACCACCATATTCCAGGACTTCAGGAGCCCAAAAATGGGGTGGATGGGGACAACACACACACCCAGGAGATCAAGAGTAACCAGTACCACGGCTCCTAACAGGGAAGAGGGAACGATGGGACAGGGGGAGTATCACATAAAACATTGAGAGAAGGATGCAGGGGCATTTCTAAACCATTTTCAATAATAAATTACTTGAAACAGGTGAAGGGATTAAGAAGTACAAATTGGTAGTTACAAAACAGTCATGGGGATGTAAAGTACAGCATAGAGCATATAGACAGTAATATTATAATAACTATGTCCGGGGTCAGGTGGCTACTAGAAATATCAGGAGAACATGATGTAAAGTATATGATTATCTAACCATTGTGCTATATACCTGAACCTAGTACAAAATAATATTGAATTTAAAGTGTAATTGAAGAATAATTTTATTTTTAAATAATAAATTACTAGATATAGTCCAGGAGAAAAGTTAATAGTTGTTTGTCAGTTCACCCTGCTACTAAAATAAAAAATGTTAAGCGACTCTATGGATGTATATTCTAATTTTACTAAATTATTTCTTCTTTTATATTTCAGAAGTGCATAATGATGATAAAACTAGATGTGTCTATGCTGAACTCAGCTTATGAAATTTAAAGATACAAACTACATCTCAGGGTAAGATAATTTTTACAAAGCTGATTTACATGAAGAAAAGGCAGACTTGATTTGGCATTTTAAATATGTTTGTATTGATTTAAGAGAGGAAGGGAGAGGGAAAGAGATATAGAAACATCAATGATGAGAGAGAATCGTTGATCAGCTGGAGATTGAACCCACAACCCAGGCATTTGCCCTGACCAGAAATTGAACCATGACCTCTGATAAATAGATTGATGTTCAACCACAAAGCCACACTGTTGGTTTTGAGCCTTAACATTGTTGAGCCTTAACCCAAGACCTCTTGATTCTTGGGTTAAGGCTCAACCACTGAGTCAGTTAAGGCTGGACTTGACTGACACTTTAAAATATCTCTCCTGCCCAGCTGGTGTGGCTTAGCAAATGAGCATCCACCTATGAACCAGGAGATCACTGTCTGATTCCAGTCAGGGCACATAACGGGGTTGTGGGTTTGATCCCCAGTAGGGGGCATGCAGGAGGCAGCCAGCCAATCAAGATTCTCTCTCATTGATGTTTCTATCTCTCCCTCTCCTTTCCTCTCTGAAGTCAATTTTTTTTTTTAAATGTCTCTCCTGTAGTATTATGCTAAGTGAAATAAGTCAGTCAGAGAAAGATAAGTATCCCATGATCTCACTCATAAGTGGCATTTCAGTAACAAAATAAACTGAGGAATGGAGTGGATCCAGAGGCTCCAAGCCTGGAACAGAGTGCGGAATCTCGGAGGGAAAGCAGGGGAGGGGGAGGGGATGGGAGGTAATCAACCAAGGACCCTGTATTCATATAGGCATGCCCCATGGACACACACACAAAAGTCTCTCGTGGTTACCTACAGTGAATCACTGATTTTTGTGATTAAACGCTCTCCCTTTGGCACATTCAGGCACTGCCAATCCTGTCATCAGACCACAGCATTGTCAGGTGGGATCCTGACTGGTGACAGTTCTTAAATGCTTTTGCTATTTTAGGCATGAACTGTTCTCCCCATTTTCACGTCACTTAACTGTTAGGCCACTGTGCTTTTCATAAATGCATCCTGAAAACATTATGGTCATCTTTCTGGTTTCCCTGGCCCTGTGCTCATTAAAGGTTCAAAGCAAAAACACAAAGGTCTAACTTCTAAAACAAAAAAACGGTGACCTTGAAAAGGTGTCTGAGGAAAACAGTGGGAGGCAGGCAAGATTACTCAACAAGTATGCGCTTGTTACTCATTGCCATTGAAATTTGTTCTCAAATCTTCAGAGGCTGCAAAAATAATTTATTTATTATTTTTTAATTTATTTCAGAGAGGGAGAGCTAGAAACATCAATGCTGAGAGAGAATCATTTATTAGCTGCTTCCTGCATGCTCCCTACTGGGGATTGAGCCCCAATCTGGGCATATGCCCTGACTAATCGAACCAGTGACTTCTTGGTTCTTGGGTTAAGGCTCAACCCCTGAGCTACACCCAGCTGGGCTGCAAAAATATTTATATTTACTTTACAGTGATTTTCTCAGTCCTCAAGACTGAGCTAATGTCAAAGGCAGGCCTATATGTGTTGCATATCCGATCAGTGTTCTGTGGCGAGAACAGCACAGAGTTGAGTTGGTGGAGAAGGAATGGATTAGTTTCCTAGGACTGTGGTAGCAAATTATCATTATCTGGTGAATTAAAACAGAAATTTTTTTCTCACAGTTCTGGAGGCTAGAAATCCAAAACCAAGGTGTCGGCAGGCCCACACTCTCTCCGAAGGCCCTATGGGCGAATCCTACCTGCCCCTCCGTTTCCGGTGGTTCTTGGTTCGTGGCAGCATCACTCCAATCTCTACCTCTGTCTTCATGTGGCCTCCCCTTCCTCTGACATTCTCTTATAGGAAAAATGGTCACAAGATTTAGGAAATGGCCGAAACCGTTTTTGGCTCAGTGGTAGAGCATCGGTCTGCGGACTGAAAGGTCACAGGTTCGATTCCCGTCAGGGGCATGTACGTTGGTTGCGGGCACATCCCCGATGGGGGTGTGCAGGAGGCAGCTGGTCGATGTTTCTCTCTCATCAACACTTCTAGCTCTCTAGCTCTCTCCCTTCCTCTCTGTAAAAAATCAATAAAAATATATTTAAAAAAATAAATTTAGGAACCGCCTGGATAATCCAGAATGACCTCATTTTAAAATCCTTAACCTAATTTCATCTGCAAACATCCTTTTTCCAAATAAGGTGACATTCACAGGATCCAGGAATTAGGACTTGGACGCATGTTTTTTGGGGGGAGTCTATTCAGCCTACTACAGGGGACAAATGAGAGAGAAATAACACCTGTCATGGAGCCTCTATGAGAGTTAATTCAGGCTTCTTCACTTCTTAACCTGAGCTCCTTGCTGAAGCAGAGCTGAGACAAGACTTGGGTGCAAGTTGTTTATAGGGGAGGTAATCCCAGGGAGCAGGAGAGTCCAGGGAGGGTAAAACAGGGAAGGAAAAGAAGCCAACACAAAGGGTAGGGAAGGGCTACATCTACACAATGGAATGCTACGCTACTATAAAAAAGAAGGAACTTTTACCATTTGCAACAGTGAAATAAGCCAGTTGGAGAAAGATAAATATCACATGATCTCTCATATGTGGGATATAATGATCAACATAATTTGATGAACAAAAATAGATCCAGAGACATATGGCAGAGAGGTGTGGGGGGAGGGTAGAGAGCAACCAAAGGACTTGTATGCCTGCGTATTAGCATAACCAATGGACACAAACACTGAGGTGGTGGGGGCTTGCCCAGGACGGGAATGGCTGGGGGGGGGGGGTGTCAATTGGGGGATAAAGGAGACATATGTAAAACTTTAGACAATAGTTATTTTTTTTAAAAAGAGTAGGGAGGAGCTAGCAAATGAGTGACCGTTCTGGTAATTAGATTTGGTCCTATCTAGACCTCCCAAGGTCTTGAAGTGCAGAATGCTGTTGAGTTGCACAATTTACCCTCAAACTATCCATAGCCTCTCATTTTCTCCTTGCAAAGCTTCTGAAGTGGTTAGTAAAGCCAACCAACACCACCATCCATATAATTACCATTGCCCTGTGTCTTCCAAGTGCTAGAACTATTGCATAACCCAGTGCTCACTGCCTCTGCAGTGGAAAGTCTGACTAAGTGTGAAGCTCTGGTGTGTAAGGGTAATCACCACTCCCTTTACTTCCATTCAAGAAGTAATTCCCTTTCTCAGGGCTGCTTTCTAGAACCTTCTAATACCCCGTCTTATCTTGGGCTAGCCCTGAAAGCAGAGCCTGAGATAAGACCTTCTGGGCAAGCCCTGGCCAGTGTTGCTCAGTTGGTTTAGCATTGTCCCAAGGATTAAGAGATTGTTGGTTCAATTCCCAGTCAGGCACCCAGGTTGTGGGTTCGATCCTTGGGGGTGTGCAGGAGGCAGCTAATCAATGTTTCCCTCTCCTATCAATGTTTCTTCTCCCTTCCTTGACCTCTAAAAATCAATTAAAAAAAATTTAAAAGACCTTTCAGGCAAGTAATTTACTTGTGAGGAAACAGGCATGAGGCACTAGAGAAAAAGCCAGTCCAAGGCTGTATTGCTGTGTTGAGCACTGCTGTGGGCCACTGGGGCTGGATCCCATGGGACCTGCTGAGGAATGAGAAAGGCGCCTCTCAGAATTGTCCACTTGAGGGAATAGTAAGGATCATGTGTCCAGGAGGTGAGGAACCACCCCCAACTCCCAGCCCGACTTCTGGGCTATGCCTGAGGACATTCCAAGCAGTCTCCCAGTAGTGTCTCACCCAGGACACTGGCAAGCCCCAGGGCAGAAAGTGAGTGGTATGTGTTGTACACTTGAAGCATGAAACTGTCAACACAAAGTGAGTGAAGTCGCAGGTGCAGGTGGAGTCAGAGGTGAGGCCCAGAGGATGTGACACGGGGCACAGAGGGGGCTGGTATGCCATCTCTCGATATTTCCTTTGTAACAACTATAAGGACAATAACTATCAAGTGTTGAGCACGTAGCAGGTTCCAGGTACTTCAGTGCTTCGTGTACCTATCCTCGTGTAGTCCTCAAAACCCCCTCCGGGGTGTTTCTCTCACATCGATATTTCTCTCTGTCTTTCCCTCTCTCTTCAATTCTCTCTAAAAATTAATGGAAAAATATCCTTAGGTGAGAATTAAAATAAAATAAAAAAAGAAAAGAAAATATTAATGTGAATTCATGATGAATTTTTTAATTTGTGGGGAAATACACATACACACAGATATGTTTGCTAGCTCTAAACACTGAAAAGACGTCCAATTTAGCATCCAAAAGATTAATTTTAAAGGTGATGAATCCAATATTTATCCCAAACCTTTTTCACACCACTAAGCAAACAGTAGGTGAAACATTTTCCTTTATAGAATTACTAGAAGCCGATGCACAAGATTCATGCACTTGGAGGGTCCCTCAGCCCGGCCTGTGCCCTCTCTCAGGCCGGGAGCCCTCAGAGGATATCTGACTGACGGTCCCCTTAGCGCTGCCCCAAAAGCAGAAGAGGCTCCTGCCACCACTGCTGCACTAGTCAACTGACTACCAGGGGGCAGCTCCTGCATTGAATGTATGCCCTCTGGTGGTCAGTGCACGTCAGAGCGACCTGTCTTTCTGCCTTTCGACCTATTTGCATATTAGCCTTTTATTATATAGGGTAGAATTCTAGCTAACAAAAGAAGACAGAATCAGAATATCACCACTTTGCCATCTAAAGAACTGACTGATCTATGTATTGATCAATGACTGCTAGCATCCCCTCAAAAGAAACAAACAGACATTACTAACGCCTAATGGGAAAATACAACAACCTAAATAATCTGGCTACAAAAATTGAACTTAAAAGCTGATCAAGCCTCTGGTTTCAATTTCCAATCTAGAGGAACAGGTTAAATAAACTATATCCTGAGGTTGTAATAAAAATCCAAGCAGTAAAAAACCCAATAATAATTCAATTCTGAGAGAGAGAATGAACCTGTAGGATGAGAGCTAACAACCAATTTTAATAAATTAATATGACACCCAAATTAAAAAACACAAATATTTATTAAACCAATATTGAAATTTATACATTCTTAGCTGATGATATATACTTGGTTAAAAAGTCTTTTACTTTGGATATATGCATCATTTCCTTCATAGTGGTGTCTCTACTTCTCAGATGTATTAATCCATTCTCCAAAGTAGCATCAGTAATCAAAACTGTGAAGAGGATACTCATTTCATCATATCTAAGAAAAAAGGTAAACAAAATACATGCACACATACATAAATTGTAAATGTACCACATTAGCAGTTTTAATTACTTTAGAACCCATGCCATTTTCAGAGTCATGAAATTCAAAGCAGGGCTGGAAGGCTAGACCAAAACCACTTTTTTCAAGTTTCTGAATCGTATTTTAAGTAAAATTTTCAGAAAGTTTCTGACTCATTGTAATAGCTGAAAATTCATAAAAAGAAAATAAAGTCTGAAATAATCAAAATATCATTTGGGGTGATATTATGGGTGAATCTCAGAATAACCTCCACCTTTTGGTACTTTAATGCAGTCCAAGAAAATTATTTTAGCCGAGATCGGTTTGGCTCAATGGATAGAGTGTCGGCTTGGGAACTGAAGGTCCCAGGTTCAATTCTGGTCAAGGGCATATACCTTGGTTGCAGGCATATCCCCAGTAGGGGGTGTGCAAGAGACAACTGAACGATGACTCTCTCTCATTGATGTTTCTAATTCTCTATCTCTCTCCCTCTCTGTACAAAATCAATAAAATATATTTTTTAAAAAAGAAAGAAAATTATTTTAGATGAAAGTCTCTTATAATGCTACCATAATTAAAGTCCAGTGCACAATATAGCATACCAAAATCATGCTTGATATGTAACTTTGTTGGCCAACAGCTTTTTAGTCAGTCACACTATCTCATTGTTTCTTTGTTTTGTTGAACTCTTATCAACATTATCTTACTTATCTATTTACTTGTTTATTGTCTATTTATCCCACTAGCTGCATAAGGACAGGAAACTTTCCTGCCTTTTTTACTGCTATATCAAAGTACAGAAAACACACTAGGTGCTTAATAAATATTTGGATAAAAATACCCTAAATCAATAAAACCTTTACTGTATCAAGAACAACTATAACTAACCTGATAAAGTCCATATAACTCAAAGGATATAATTCTAGAACCGAGAGGACTGGAAAGTTTAAATACCATCCCTTCATTGTGGTTCATCTTACCCATAGCAACCTACTTTTCTTTTTGCATCATCTGAAAGGTGTATTTTAACCAGTTATTAGAGAACCAAAGAGCAAAACACAAAGTTTGACAACTTTTCACCCAAAAGATAATGTATTCAACACAAAAAGCTACATAAAATAACAAAATAAACCCAAAGAAAAGAATGAATTCCTTTATTTAAAAAATAGAAGTTTTAAAACTAGAGACAGGAAGGTCAATTAGGAGATTACTTCAATAATCCAGGCAAGAGATATTGGTGACCTTCACTTGGTTAGTAGCAGTGAAGATGGAGAGATGTGCATTTGAAATGTATTTAAGAAGCAGGGACAACATTTTATGACAAAATGAATGTGGAGGATAAGGAAGAGGGAGGAGCTAAGGATAACACCCAACTTTTAATCTTGAGCAACCAGGTAAACAGAGGTGCCAATCACTGAGGAGACTAGTTTTCTGTCCTCTGGGTTGGAATTATTTTCCATTAGGCCTCAAAATAAACCACACCAGTAAGGAAAAGGCACTCGATTCAATAAATGCATCCAATGTACATAATTCCAATCCTGATAAATCAATAAACTCAGGTATACGTACTTCATGGCATTAAGTCTTGAAGATACATATAGTATGTACTCAAGTATGCCTGATGAAGTGTTTCCTACGGGCATGTGGTTCTGCAAATGGAAAAATTAGGAATACTTTCAAGTTACATTATATAAAGATATATTTAGAAGGGAGATCTGTTACTCATAAAATAAAAAAGGAACATCTAAAAAAAAAAAAAAACAACTCTAAAAAAAATAGTTTTATCGAAAGGCAATTCTTACTTTGAATAAAGTTGTTCCAATGAGGACTGTGCAGTTTCCAAATAACCAGGCCACACAGAAATTCCACTTTCTAGTAATTCATTAAACAGCCCTTGACAAACCTGAAAAAATAATTTCAAACATGAAAGAAATAAAAGTAGCTAGAGTGAATACTCTATTTTTTTTGAAACCACAAATTACCTTTTTCAATCTTAAAAATGGGCATAAATTCCCATTTTTTAATATTGCTTATAATTTATATATTGTGATAATATTGCTTATAATTTATATATTGTACACTTAAAAATTGTATACTTTGAAAATAAAGAAATTAAGCTCTGCAAATCTGAATATTAAATGCAAGTCTTCTGAGAGAAAATTTTATAACAAATATAAGAATTTTAATCATCATTATCATTCAAAACACAAATAAAACCAAAATAGGTTTTATCAGAGAAAAACAAGTACAAAGAGCTATCAATGTCCACTCTAAACTCAAGTTGAGAAACTGAGCCTGAAAGTTTTACTATCATGTCAGGAAGAGAAGAAAGAACCAGGAAAGGAAACTATGGAGAAGCCACCAGACAAGTATGAGGACAACTTCGAGAGTAGTATTCTTGGAGCAAACTAAAGAAAATGCCTTGAAAAGAAGATGATTAATTACAGTGGAACGCTGAAGACAAAAGCCTGACTGGAAATACAGACGTAATAATGAGTCAATGACATAGTAAATTTACTGTTCTTAACAAGCAATGGTGGAGCAAAATGAAGTAAAATTTTAAACTCCTCTGCCCTGGCCAGTGTTTTTTAGTGGTTGGAGCATCGGCCAACCATCCAAAGGTCTCTGTTCAATTTCTGGTCAAAGGCATATATCTGGGTTGTGGGTTCGGGAGGCAACCAGTCAATGTGTCTCTCTCACATCAATGGTTCTCTCTTTCTCCCTCTCCCTCTCTCCCTCCTTCCCTTCCTCTATCCCTTTCCTCAACCCGGAAAAAACAACGGAAAAAAATATCCTCCGGTGAGGATTAACAACAATAACAACAAAAGTGGTTTGTTTTGTAAACACCCTTAACAATCTAGAGCTAAAACATTAGAGTAGAATTTCTCCCATTTGGCTCTGCTGACCTAATCTGTTTAGAAGCATCCCTGGCCTCCACTAGATCAAGTCCAGTAGCACCCCTTCTCCACTGTGACAACCAAAAGTGTCCTACTTAAAGAAGAATAAATTTTTTTTACAAGATGAATCAAAATAAAATTCTAAATGGCAAACTCCTCATTTACTTGAAATAATGGTTATAATTAAAATCATGATATCAGAACTCATTTAACCCACCTGTCTTAGTTCCACTGTTGGGCCTTTTCCCATATCCAAAGCAACCTTAATAGGAGCCAGACAAGGGTGAAGCTTAAGTACCTAAAGCAAATGAAAGAGGTGGGAGAACAATACATCTTATGTAAGTAAAATACAACCACTAACAAACATGGGCTTCTTAAAACAATAAAATTTTCTGTGTGAAAATGGAAGCTAGCTGAGGCCGTACAAAATCCTGTAACGATGTCTTCAGTTGTGTATATCCAGCTGCTCATGGATTTCTCCAGATGTTCTGCAGAAATGAGTTCACCTGATAACTCTCCCATTTTCTGACAACTCTATTTTTTGTCAGTCAAAATGCCTCCTGGCATCATTGTTTTCCCACTCAGCTTATGGACTTACCACTTAGAAAGAGTGGAGGTGGGAAGAAATGGTCCGATTCAGAATATATTTTGAAGGCAGAGTCAAATAGGTTTTGCTGATAGTTTGATGTGGGGTACAAGAGAAAGGATCCACCTTGTTTGTATGCTACAGACACCCTATAACTGCCATCCCCCAGAGCAGTTCTATAATCTGACTTTCTCTATGGCCATAGGTTAACTGAGCACTGCGTAACCAATCACTTTAACTACACAGAGTGGTGCTACAAACTCACAGTTTCCAAATCCAGTTGGACACTCAATGTGTTAAAACTTTGATTTGGGACAGCTGCCTTTCAAGTTCAAGGGGAATATGATCATTGTAAACTCTTGCCACTTAAATCCCTATTCCTCCACATTTTAAGCTAATTCTTGCCTCCTAATTCCCTAAGAAAATACAGTAAAACTTCCTGCAAAGGCTAACCAGTCCTGGTAGCCTATTTATATCTATACCATCATTTCTTTCCTCCCTGTTTCAACTATAATAACTTCTTTTCAAATCCCTCCATCTATACTCAATTCTGTCTTGATTCTTTCTGTTTCTTCCAAAATTTTACTTCTTTTAAAAAAATTCATCTTTATTGTTGAAAGTATTACAGATGTCTTTTTCCCCCCCTTGACTTCCCAAATATTACTCTTCAGTAATTTCTTTCCTTTCCTACATAGTAATTTCTTTTCTTTCCTATAGCATTAATTCCTTGTGCCTCTTGATTTTCAGTCCGCCTCCCCTTCCCCCACCAAAAACTTGTTTGTCCTAAAATAAGCCTTTCCCTAAACACATCCCATATCTAATCCCTATGATCCAGAGATCAGCCACTGGGAATCAGACCAGAAGCAGAGGTCAATACCACAGTTTTGACCTCGCCCGTCTTATTTACTCTCATTTAACCCTCAGCTTCTGAGGCAAATGGAAGCTATCAATGGAAAGGCTTAGAGGCTAAAAATCAGAGATAGCTGTCTAGCTCCCTAAATTGAAACAAAAATGCCGCCGAAACCGGTTTGGCTCAATGGATAAAGCATCGGCTTGGGGACTGAAAGGTCCCGGGTTCGATTCCGGTCAAGGGCATGTACCTTGGTTGCGGGCACATCCCCAGTAGGGGATGTGCAAGAGGCAGCTGATCGATGACTCTCTTTCATCGATGTTTCTAACTCTCTATCTCTCTCCCTTCCTCTCTGTACAAAATCAATAAAATATATTAAAAAAAAAAAAAAAAAAAAAAAGAAACAAAAATGCCTTTTGGATTACCCAATAGGAATGTCTTGTTATATTCTGTGAGCAGCTGCTAATTATTCCTGCAGCCAGATTCTAAAACAAACTGAAAAATACTCAAATTACTTGCACTAAAATAAAATTATTTTTCAGGCTTTATGTTAGAAACTAAGCACACTAACATTAAAAATAGGAGGGAAACATATTTTTTTGTTTTCCTAAGTCTATCTCTGAAATAACAAAAGCACCTTTCTATGAAGATTTTTCTTTCTTGTAAAGGAATTCTCTGTTAGCTGGAAAGAATCGAAGAGGTAAGCCAGCATGCCTCTGTCAAGATCTCCATTTATAGATAAAACAGAAGGAACCACATTTTTTCGTCCATCTCGGCCCTTTACAGAAAAGTAGAACAAAAACAAAATCATTTAGCAGAGCTATCTTTTAAAATTACATATTTTAGACTTATAAAATCAGATCATAAACTAACCAATAAATCTAAAAGAAATGATAAAATTAATTATTTAAAAATCACCATTTGGCAACCCTTTGTGGTAATAATTGATTTGGGCAAGAATCATCAATGGAAGCTGCAACTGGTAGGTCAAAATTTTGTGAAAAGCAAATAATCTTTAAGTATCTGCCCACAAAAGACTTATCAATTACTCATAATTAATAAATACAACTTTACATTGGAGAAACTCACCATGCATAGCAACATCAGCAACATGTTAACCAAGTGATAAAAATTAATATCACCAATAACCAATTTATATCACAAGCCTCCTGTGATATAACGAATGAGCAGCACCATTTCTGTGGCTGAAGAAATATGAAACTCAAACTAAGGAACATCCTACAAAGGAGCTGGCCTGTACTCTTCAAAAATATCAAGATTATGAAAGACAAGGAAAGACACAAGATATTGTTCATTTGAAGGAGACTATAAGAATACGCAACAACTGCAAGAACTATGTGACTAGATAAGGACCAGAACCTATAAAGGGCATACTGGAATAATCGGCTACATTTGAAGGGTTCTCTGATTGGATGGCAATCCTGGATTACTCTTACTTTCCTCATTTTGATGGTTGCATTGTGGTTATGTAGGCGAGTGTCCTTCCACTCGAGAAATACACACTGAAGTATTAAGAAGAGATCATGTGCACATGTCTTCAGCTTACTAGTATTTTCATTCAAATGGTCCAAAAATGATCCCAGAGAATCTGGGTAAAGGATACAGTAGGAGTTGAAGGTAATACACACATGTAATTGAGACGCATTTCCAGGATACGTGTGTAACAGTTCCTGATCTCCTAGATTCCACAGGGTTTCTATCGGCTCCTTTCCCCAGGGAAAATTGTAGTAAAGCTTGTTTCCTTTCCGTCCCTCTTCATCCTCACAGTCACTGCTGCTGAAGTTAGATGGACTCACAGCAAACTGGAAAAGAAAGTTTGTCTTATTAACTTAATAAAGTAAATGTTGAAAAGTAAGTTGCCTAAGGCTATTATGCAGCAGCTGAATAAAAATGGTCAAGCCCAAATCAAAACTACAGAGAAAAACTGTTGATGACCATACATATATATTAATTAATAAGAGGGGAAGGCAGCCGAAACCGGTTTGGCTCAATGGATAGAGCGTCGGCTTGGGGACTGAAGGGTCCCGGGTTCGATTCCGGTCAAGGGCATGTACCTTGGTTGCGGGCATATCCCCAGTAGGGGGTGTGCAAGAGGCAGCTGATCGATGACTCTCTCTCATCGATGTTTCTAACTCTCTATCTCTCTCCCTTCCTCTCTGTACAAAATCAATAAAATATATTTAAAAAAAAAAAAAAAAAAAAGAGGGGAAGGCAACCAAGGACTAAATGAGATGAAGAAGTAAGTATCACATACCATACTCATCCTTTTGTAAAGAGCTTGATTGTGATTATTCCACTTAATTTAGGTTGGTGTTCGGGATTTTAAGAGTTGAAGAAATGGGGAGACAGAAATGCTTACTTCAACTCTTTTGTTTTTTTTGTGTTTTTAAAAAAAATATATTTTATTGATTTTGTACAGAGAGGAAGGGAGAGAGATAGAGAGTTAGAAACATCAATGAGAGAGTCATCAATCAGCTGCCTCTTGCACACCCCCTACTGGGGATATGCCCGCAACCAAGGTACATGCCCTTGACTGGAATGGAACCCGGGACCCTTCAGTCCCCAAGCCGATGCTCTATCCATTGAGCCAAACCGGTTTCGGCACTTCAACTCTTTTGTCTTCAGCATATACTAAAACTTGATTGCAAATTATAGAACCATTTTGACTAATATGGAGAGTTTGTGGAGATAGGGAACAAAAGTTAAAGCCGTAAGAGTGGACAAAGGTCAAATTCATACCAGCCAGGAAGGAATGCCAGGTGAGGAATGTGAACTTTACCTTGAATGTAAAAGCTTATCAACAAAGGCTTTTGAGCAAGAGAGAAATACTAACAAATGTCTTTACCAAAGTAACTTTGTTAGAAGGAACAATAAAAATCATTAGAGTTTTTTATTCGTGTTTGTTAATTTAATATAGCTGTATCTTATAACATAGCTCCATCAAAAATTTTCATTTATTAAAGATAAATATTACCTCAGACACGTTAAGACAACATATTATTAACTACTGGAATAAGGGTGATTACTGTCGTACCTTTCTCCACCACAGGAGTCGATGACGTAACCAGAAATCAAGCCACTGGCTGGCAGTTCTCGCTGAAGTAAACCATACCAGTGAAGCTTCCGTCGTCTCACCAATTCTTTAAATATCAGAAATATCAAATAGTTACTTATTTGAAAATCATATAATCTATCTCGTGAAAATGACTGGTTCTTGACTATTTAAACACAAGCCATTTTTCTGTACCTTTTGGCGCCATTAGGTGTCTGCTTAGTATCAGAAGCAGGATGAAAACACACTCCAATCTGAGCGAGGCCATAAGGGAGCCTCTTATTTACCAGATCCAAGCAATTAACATACTGCTTCAAGGCACCTGTCAAAAGGTAAATCAATCATTATATAAATCTATTCTATAAATCCAAATCATTTTGGTCAATTCACAGACAAATTAATAATATATTAATGTTAACACAACAGTACAAGTAGCTTAGAGCTATTTATTAAGGGAGATCTTTTTAAAAATATATATTTTATTGATTTTTTACGGAGAGGGAGGGAGGGGAATAGGGAGTTAGAAACATCGATCAGCTGCTTCCTGCACACCCCCTACTGGGGATGTGCCTGCAAGCAAAGTACATGCCCTTGACCGGAATAGAACCTGGGACCTTTCAATCTGCAACCGAGGCTCTATCCATTGAACCAAACCGGTTTTGGCAAGGCAGATTAATTATCACTTAATTTTAGGTAGCTTTCCCCCAACTTATCATTTTGAAGATTTTCAAATCTACAAGGAAATTGAAATAGTACAAGCAGCAAATATCTGTAAACCTTTTACCAACATTCACCAATTATCAACATTTTGCCACACTTTTTTTGTTCACCTCAAAAACATTTCAGCATTCATCTCCTAATTTTCTATTACCATAATTTCATCTAACATATGGTCAATATCCTTATTTTGTCCAATTATCAGCCAACATGTCATTTATTGCTGTTCTCTTTCTCCCTAAGGTTCAAACACCATTTTGACCAAGTCTCTTTGATCTCTTTGACTCTAGAAATTTCCCGACTCCTCCCTAACTTTGCTTTTAATGACACTGACCTTTGAGTCCAAGCCAATCATAGATTATTTCACATTAGAGATTTGTCTGATTGCTTCCTTATGATTTAATTTGGGTTAATTATTTTTATCAGAAATAATACTACATAGTCAATGTGAATGTCTTTATCATAGTGCATCTTAATTGGAGGAAAATATTAAATTATCCTATTAATGAAACAAATTTGATTACCTGATTAAGGTAATCCATTTCCTAACAATACCCTGCTCCCCCATAATCTTCCACTTACATTTTAGAATCCATTGATGATCCTTGCTTCAATCAATTATACCTTTGGGGATTATAAAATCATAGCATGGTAATTTTTCTAATCAATCTTCCCTTCTACATTTAATGCAGTTTCTGTACTAGTAAAAACTTTTTCCCTTCAACATCAGCCTCAATTATTTACTTCTTTCATTAACACTATGGTTTAAATTTTTTTTTTTTTTTTTTTTTTTTTAAATATATATTTTATTGATTTTTTACAGAAAGGAAAGGAGAGAGATAGAGAGCTAGAAACGTCGATGAGAGAGAAGCATCAACCAGCTGCCTCTTGCACACTCCCTACTGGGGATGTGCCCGCAACCAATGTACATGCCCTTGACCGGAATCGAACCTGGGACCTTTCAGTCCGCAGACCGACGCTCTACCACTGAGCCAAACCGGTTTTGGCACTATGGTTTAAATTTATTTAACATGTATGATCCATTACCATCAATATTTAATATTCAATTTGTCTCAAATTTAGCCAGTGCGAAACAGTCTCCTTCAAGCCAACATCTGTGTCCTTTTGACAAGTTTTCAAGTAATTCGTTGCTTTCTAGCACCATAAAATGTCCCAAACTCACCTTGTACTTTCCCTGCCCTGGACCTGGAATCAGCCATTTCTCCAAGCACTGGTTTATTTCAGAAACCAGATGTTGGGTACTAGGTGTACTCATTGTTATTGTCGTTGTTTCTAGGTCCTTTCAATGAAGAAAGTTAGGGGGAAAAAACTTTTTTTTTTAAATCCCGAGTTCATACTGATATTGCCAATTCAAATTTAGCATTACAAAATGTATTCTTGTCTTTTTTGTATTTTTTCTTTTATATTTGCCTATTTTCTATTACTGAGAAAATCTTGGTTTCTAATAAGATTAATCTATTTGCTTTATCCTATAATATATATGAAATAGCCTCAAAGTTATAATTCCAACATTCCTACATGGAGTAAACCCAAGTTCAAAATTTCTTTGTAGTTGTCTATGCTAGTTATATAAAAGGTTATATCCCACTAAATGACAGGAATGTGTTCAAAAGTTACTTGAGATTCCCACTAGCTTGGTGATAGATGGTCCAGAAACTTAAAAAAAAAAAAAAAAATCTGTTTAAAGACACAGGAGAATGCCCTAGCTGGTTTGGCTTGGTGGCTAGAGCATTGGCCTGTGGATTTAAGGGTACTGTGTTCGATTCCAGTCAAGGGAACAATTTTTTTTTTTTTTAAAGACACAGGAGAACTATCAAGGCAGTAAGGACTTGAGGGTCCAAATTTTAGAGAAAAGGAAAGAGCATAGAGAATCCAACATTCAGTGCTACTTTTCCAATTCTCAAGTAGCAGAGCTGAGCAGAGCTTCCTGACATTTGGAAAGTACAAAAATTATACTTCCTGCCCTAGCCGATTTGGCTCAGTGGATAGAGCGTTGGCCTGTGAACTGAAAGGTCCCAAGTTTGATTCTGGTCAAGGGCACATGCCCAGGTTGTGAGCTTGATACCAGTAGGAGGTGTGCAGGAACCAGCCGATCAGTGATTCTCCCTCATCACTAATGTTTCTATCTCTCTCTCTCCCTTCTCTTCTGAAATCAATATATGTATAATAAAAAGATAATTTGCAAATTGACCAAATGGTAGAGCTACTGTTTGCAATGATACGCACTGACCACTAGGAGGCAGTGGTCAATGCAGGAGGTGCCCCTGGTGGTCAGTGGGCTCCCACAGGGGGAGCTCCGCTCAGCCAGAACCAGGCTCACATCTGGTGAGTGCAGCTGTGGTGGCAGGAGCTTCTTCCATCTCTGCAGCAGCGCTAAGGACCCCTTAGCCAAGGAGCAGGCCTAAGTGGACATCCTCCACGGGGTCCTGTACTGTGAGAGGGCACAGGCCAGGCTGAGGACCCCTGCCCTAGTGCATGAATGTCCTGCACCGGGCCTCCAATATATACAAAATTATAGATCCTGCTTCATCAAGGAGGGGCCCTGGTAAATAGCTCCACCTTTCACTAGGGACACTACATACACTCTAGGGGCAGAGATGACTGAAAAGACAGAAGCCCAGCCTCCAACTAAACTTAATCCTGGATTGTCATTAAGAAGATATGCTCCCACTCTAGCTGCCTGCGAAAAGCAAAAGTAAATCCTTCCAGAAAGAAGAAAAGACCACTCAAAGCCTCAATTTATCTCCACAATTTTCACAATTACCTAGACTATCAGGAAAGTCCAAATGACCACAAGCCCAGAGAAAACCACATAGTAGAAACAGATACATGTAAGTTACTGGACATGGACTTTAAAATGGGATTGTGTTTAACTAAAATATGTGTAATTATCACAGAAAGACAGGAGAATGAGTAAAAATATTTGAAGATAAAATGGCCAAGAATTTTAAAATACTAATAATAAAGAAAGGAAGGGTGCCCAGCCGGTGTGACTCAGTGGTTGAACATTGACCTATGATCCAGAAAATAAAGGTTCAATTCCTAGTCAGGGCATATGCACAGGGCAATTTCAGGATCCCCAGTGGGGGACGTGCAGGAGGCAGCCGATCAACGATTCTCTCTCATCTCAGAGAGAGATGTTCCTGTCTCTCTCTGCTCCTCTCTGAAATCAATATATTAAAACAAAAAACAAACAAAAAAAGGGGGTGGGGAAAGGTTATTGGAAATTGAAAGCAATGGCAAACCAGGTGACTCTTAAGCTAAAAACACTAGATTACCATAGGATTTGGGCAAATAGATGGATTAAGTTTCCTACAGGCAACAGAAAGTCTGGCACAACATAGATGCTTTGATGGGTGGGCATCTAAGAGAGCTAAATTCCATTTTCTAATAGGAAGAAAAGATTGATTTGTTTTGGGACATGGTAATGAGCAGTGGTTTAACTCCCCCAAAGTAAAACCATCATGGAATAAAATAATGTAAATAAAAATGATCACATTTACTCATTTGTTTCCATTTGATTTATTCCCTTAAGGCAGTGTTTCCCAAACTTCTCTCATGATGAGAGTTGTTAAAATACAGATTCCTGAATCCCAACTAAGAAGTGCTAAACCAGAATTTTTGGGAACATATAGGTAAAACTGTAAAATTGTAAGCTAGGGGCACTAGTTAAGTATACAATTGAAAAATTGTAAGCTTAGAGCACTAGTTAAGTATACAATTGTAAAATTGTAAACTTAGAGCACTAGTTAAGTATACAATTTTACCTATATGTTCCCAAAAATTCTGGTTTAGCACTTCTTAGTTGGGATTCAGGAATCTGTATTTTAACAACTCCACCAGGTGATTCTCATCATGAGAGAAGTTTGGGAAACACTGCCTTAAGGAAATCTTTAACAAATTTATAATTTAGGTACTGGTTTTCAGAGAACCACGGACATTGGTTATTGTAAATTACTTTATAGTATCACTTAATAAAAAATGGCAAGGATAGCATTTTGCAAAGATGAGATGCTGTGCCTGCAAGTTGGTCCTATAAAGAACCTGAGTTGTTTTCAGTATCTCTGCAATCATGTTCTATTTGACTTTAAAGGCAAATGGTCCCCTATAAATCTGTTTATACACTCAAAAATCACTTACGAAGTTTAATTAGTCCTATTTTGCCTACATGACTCTCAAAACAAGATTGTAGGTCAGAAAAACCAGGAAAGGGCATTTTCTTTTTGCTATAGGAAAAGGATGTTGATTTTGTGTAAAACTGAAGGGTGATTGTGGAAGTATTTACAAGCATTAGTAAGGATGAACAAATTATTGAAATATAGGCTTTAATTTCGGTCCTAATTCTAGGGCTGCTCAATTAACTCTAAAATTATAAGGGTTGCTCTGTTAAATGGAGAGCATTATCAGGTTGCTCCCTTCGGTCAGATTAACAGTAAGGATTACATGGACCAGCTTTCTCCAGTGCAGAAGCACTGTCAACACACCCAACTACGTACTTCAAAAAGTTGAGAACCACGTAACTTCCTTTCGTGAGGGAAGGGCCAGTTGCAATTCGCGGAATCGCGCGAGATTGCCTTTCCACCCCGACACCTATTTTGAAGCAAGAAATCATGAAGCATACCGTGAAGAAGGTTCTCCCGTAGTTTCCCAGGAGTTTTTAATAAGTTCTCAAGAAATGCTACTAGCTGTTCCTTACTCAGTTCTTTGTCTTGCAGGATTTCGCGTATAGTTTCTGCGGCAACTAACCTGAAGGCATTGTCCCCGGGCAGCGAAGGGCCCGATTCATGGTGGAGGGCGTCTACCGGAAAGACCTGTTCCCTGAACGCCACCACGGAGGACCACCATTCTGCCTTCAGGTTCTTCCGCAGCTCTAAGCCCAGGGGGCCAAAGCCGGCGTGGCACCCGCTCAGGAGGGAATCTCGGCTAACCCGCCACTGGGTGCCATTGAGGAAATGCCTCCTCTGACAGATCTCTACCAGCGTTTCGCTCCCCTCTCCAGCCTCTGGGGCTTCTCTTGGTTCGCGCCCCCCGGGCAGTTCCGTGTGCGAACTCGGGGGCCCTCCAAGGAGGCTATTCCCTTCCGTCAACGGCTCTGGCTGGCCCCCATCTACTCGACCCCCAAAACCAGACAACAGGCATCTGCAGACTTTCTGGCAGGTCCTGACAGCTGCCCCAGAGCGCATGGCCCTCGGGAGTTAAAGTACACAGTCCATTAGCGGGCAAGCAACCCCTACAAACTGCCGCAACCGAAGCACCCGGAAACCAACTTCGCAGCCGCGTCGGAAGTGAGCTTGCGTGCAGCTGGCCACGCCCACGGAAGTGCGTCAAAGTCCCGGCTGCGGCCGCCCAGGGCCTACCTCGCTCGCCCAGGCAGACAGGCCCTCCTAACCTTGTCCAGCCTGGTCCCCCCGCCAGTTATGTCCTCCTCAGCACAGCATTCCCTTTTACTTTCCACTGTCGTGCGGTAGCCGCTGCTGCATCAGCTTCACTTTCCTTCTCCATTCTCGTGTATCAGACGTGAAAATATTTAAGATGGAGGTTATGTGGAGAACATCTTTGGTTCCTTTTTAGTCCTTTGTGGTGGTTTAGAAACCCAAGATTGTCCAAATACACAAGCGTGCCTTCCTCTCAGTTCTCCTGGATGTGAATGGGGTTAACTGGGAAGAGGTAGGGTAGCTACTGTCTCAAGGGGCAGTGCGGTGAGACTGCACCATTTGGGAACCTTAACCTGAGGGACTCCACAGTTTTAAATAAGCCCTGCATGTGAATGTATGTACTTGTACAACTGAGAACTAGCAGTAAGTTCCTCTACCAGAGGTTCCTTTTAGGTTCCATCAAAACATGCAATAAAACTTGACAACCCAGGATTGCCTTAGCAGGCCTATTTTAAAAAAAAATTTTTAAATTAAAAGCCCATACAAAAATTACTCAGAAAAGTGTAAAAAATGAAAATTGTTCATCCCCAAACCCATGATTACGTCTTCCAGGTTCCCTTCAAGTTGTTTATGAAAACCTTGAAAAACTCGGGTGAAATGAACTACTAGATTCCACTGGGGCAATTTTTGGAGGGTAATAGCAACTAACAGTAATATAGAACAGCTAAAACTTTTCATCACAATAGTATTGTAGGACAATCGCAGAAAATCATTCCATACAGCAAGTGTTATTTAAGTTTGTAAAAAGAGAAACTAGAAAATGGGAACAATTGCTAGAAAGCAATTATATTAACTGCAAAGCTGGGCACTATTAATGTACGTTTCTCACACTCAAGAAACGAACCAGAGGCCTACACACAAATAAACCAGAGAGAGAATGGGGAGGGAAAAAAACATTTATTAAAGACAACCACAGGCTGGACACAACACACATGCTAAAAAGTGGACTGTCTTTTAAAACTTCAAAGGTAAATAGGTAAATGTTTCCCACATCCCCACAATCATTTCAATTAAGTGTTTACAAATTTGAAGGCCCACATTAAACATTAAACAGTAAAATATGTAAGATACTCCAACCTACCCCGAAAGCTTATGAGTTGTCATTATGAATTTGACCTATCATGCTACTGAAAACTGTTAGAGGTTGATCAGTTTTCAATGTATTAGTCTAAGAATACCACTCCCCCGCCCCTCCAAATTTATTTCAAGGATAAGGCATTAACATTAAAGCCTCAGCTTAATAATCAGAATTTAAATGTCTTAAAACTTCTCTCCTGAACGTATATATACCACTTTCTGGGTAGACCATCAGACCTACTTGTAGACATTATTGAAATAGAGTACTAAGAAATATTGGTGAGCCAAAGCTAGTTCCTGGTTCTTTCTAGCAATAAATCCATGTTGACACAAGACTTGTACTATAGTCCCTGTGCTTTTGGTTGTTACTTCCTCTTGGTTAACCATTAACTTTGATGAGGATTTTTGTGTGTTCAAAAGATTAAGACCTTAGTTTGAAGTGCTGTAGAGAGTTCCCTGGATTATTGGAAAGACATTTAATGATTCCCAGTGTGACTCCCCGGGAGCCTGTGAAGACTAGAATCTGAACTAAGAAAGCAAATTAAAACAGTTCCTGCCAACCTTATCTTTAAAGATGCAGTCTTAGTTTTGCTCAACATTCCAATAATTCACAATAGACAGGAGAATGAATATAATCTTGGAAAAAAGTTTTTGGAGCTATTAAATAAATTTTGTAAAAGGAATGAAATCATACATGTTCCCACACTAACCAGTTTGAAGGTAGGGCTATTCAGTTATTTCCTATTTACTTTAATCTCATTTCTCCATTCTAACAAATAGGCTACTAAATGACTCACCTTATTATGTTGGGAGGTACTGACAGAAAGCCATTATGAAATTTAGCCTAGAATTATAAATTAACCTAAATCTCACTTTAATTCTTGCAATATAAATAGATCACTACAAAGGCCTTCTGATCTCCCCACTTCCAAAAACTAAATTATGTAAAGTTTAACTTTTGATTAAAAAAACAAAAAACAAAACACAAAACAGACCACCTTAGCAGTTTTACATGACATTATATATGTAAAATAAAGTACAATTTCCACTTAATTCAGTCTTCAAATATTTTTTATTGGAAGGCCATGCATTGCCTTCATTCATTGTATTTCAAATCACTGTACATTTACTTTGTGAAAACACTGCCTGCATTTTCTAGTACAAAAAAAACCTAAAAATTGTTTCAGGAATGTAGAGAAATATCCAACTTAAATAGCGAAAAAGTGCACCATAATTACTGCTGCACTGCAGTCATTTCTGCATTTCCCATGTTTCTTAAATAACTATCTTGTCTGATAACACACAATATAAAGAGCAATTATGAAAAACAGACATTTACATATACTTCTAAAGTCTTATTGAGAATATCCTGTTGGCATTGGATAACCAATCATAGGTGCAGCTGCAGTAGCAGGATATGCATATGCCTGTTGGTTCATACCATTGTGCATATTTGGAACATTACTTCCATATTGCTGAGTGCTATCATAACCATTCTGGTAAGTCCCTGTTGGATTACCAGTCCTAAAACTGGTCTGTAGACCAGCAGACACAAAATTACTTCCAAAGCTCCCATTGGTGTAACTTGCAGCACTATAAACACCATTCTGGGTCTTTGCCCCAAAATCTCTCTTAAGCAGACTAGAATAACCTCTGTCATAATTTTCCCTGTCTCTAAAGGTATTAAATCCACCCCTTTTGCCTGCAGAGTATCTGTCCCGACGATCATCCTTCATGCCTCCTCTACCCCTGGAACGACCTGTTAAGAAAAAACAATTGTAAGCTGATTATTTCTGTTGCACATATCATTTCTAACACAGAAGGAACTAGGTACCTCTCACTATAGATGAGGATCACTTTCTCAACTTGTCACACTTGCCAATCCCTTTTAAAAATGGGTTTGTAGACAATTATGAAACCCAAAACCACCATTTCTTAATGAAGATTAGTCTTACCTGAACCTCTGTCTTCAACCAACTGAAGCAACTTGGGATTAATTGCTTGATTAGCTTCACGAAGCACAGAGATAAGGTCGCTCACTTGCTTTATATTATTAGGTGTAAAGAAAGTGTAAGCTGTGCCTGTTTTGGTACTGCGAGCAGTTCTTCCAATTCGATGAATATAATCCTCTGAGGAGTTAGGGTAGTCATAATTGATGACAAATTTCACATCTTCCACATCTGTAAGGTGTTGCAGTGTGGCAAAATAGCAATGTATGGAGTTTTGCACACCACAACAGCCAGACCAAAAATAAAAAGTTAGACATTTGTATTCCCAAGAAGGTACGGGCTGCAAAAAACAGTTAAAATGGTTATCTGTTCCCTGTAGGAATACCATTAAGGTTGGGGAGGGGGGAAAAAAGAAAAAAACAAAACAAAAAACACACACACTTCGTGTGTTACTGCCCACCCAATGATAGAACCTGTCAAAAGGATGTATGTGTATTTCCTAACACCTTCCCAAATCAGCAAGTCCCCGTATAGTTATCAAGTGACATCTGAATGCTTCTGTGCAGTAGGGCCACTTAAAGGTTCACAGCAACCTCTTCATGTGCTCACTTTTAGGACCTTTAAACAAAAACGTACATGGTCCTTTGCATTACACACTCATCAGAAGTTCAAAATGCTGGCCACACTGCTTGTCTTGCCAAGACCTTACAACTGCAGCTGCAAGAAAAACATACCTGTCCCCCAAAAGTTGTTTTTATGCATTGTGTCTCATCTAGGCAAGCACTTCCAAGAAGCCAGGATTCACTTGAGAATGTGTCTCTCTCTGGCAGGTCTCGACATGACGACTACTGTGTAGGTGAGGGAGGAACTTTCAAAGCAGTTTTATTTTCCCACTGACTAAGTGTGGGAAGTTGTTCCTGCTCTAGAGGCTCATGTGCCAGTACTCACCAATTTGTAAAAGGCTTTTAGTACCTTTTAAAGCTGCTCTCTCCATTTCAAACTTGAACAAAAATGTCATTGAACATTGAAGTTTGGAAATATTTCTTCGACATTTCAGCAAACTCACTGAAACTCAAAGACTCACAGATCACAGTAAACAGTCTGAAACAATGCAGTACCATGGCAATCATGCAAAGCATGGGACAGAAGAAATACCACGGCAGTGACTGTGAGGATAACTTCCATTTTTTTCCCCCGGAGAGAACAGTTTATGCGGCAGAGGTCGTATGTTCTGCCTTTTGAAGATTACTGGCACACTTTCAGTTTTTCACCTCTCTAATCGACTGGAAGCAGCCAGCCGATCACTAGTCCTCCATCCCCCTCGAGTCCTCCGATTGTCATGCCTAGGCCTTGCCACAAAGACTGCACCTTTATATGAAAAAAAACTTAGAAAAATGCAGAGGTTAAAGAAAGCAATAAACTTTCTTTAAAAATTGAATGGAGATCTTCTGGAAAACCAAGCCATGAATTCGAGTTTCTACTAACCTAGCCCTCTGGAAGCCACATCTGTAGCAATCAGAATAGGAGCTTTTCCATGTTTGAATTCTGCAAAATAAGGTATATATATATATATGATCACTAATCTGAACAAAATTTTATGTTGTAGGGAGGGGATCTTCATTTTAAATACTTACCATTTAGAACCCAATCACGTTCCTGTTGACTCTTGTCACCATGAATACCCATGGCTGGCCACCTAAATTAAGAGGTTATATTAGTATAATTGCATATAAAACCTGATAGATTTTATTTTAACACCTAACCATTGGGGGGGGGGGGGTGTCAGAGATCCCTCCCAATTTCCCCTGAAATAGTTACCGTTTTACCTACAATATGACTCTCATCCACAAAACTCAAATCTATCACTCCTGACCTAAGTTTGTCCTTCCCCTAAACTCAGCTCTAATACATCTGCTCCAATGGAGGAAGCCCACGTACCCGTCTCTCCTCATTTTTCTAGTAAGTTCATCACATCTCCTTTTGGTTTCAACAAAGACAATGGTTTTATTCTCCTTCTCACTCATGATCTCTTCCATCAGACGAATAAGTCTTGAAAAAAAGAAAAAAGATTGTCAATTTTAAAAGAAGTCCATGGTCAATGTAAATGGTTAACCACCTGATTAGTAAACACTTATCAAGCAATTATTCCCCTTTACCCTTAAACCACAGAACACCCAAGTTCCATTTCCTACAGAAATTCGTAGTGATAGCCAATTATCTGAAGAAAGCAAGAATTTTTAAAAATTACTGACAGGCTAATTTTAAATTAACATATTCAGGTTACACCCATCTGAAAGTAACTTTTAAGATAACCTATAAAACAGGAACTGAATTTACAGTTGTTTTTGTGCAAAAAATAACTTACTTTTCATCCTTTTCTACATCATGACACACGTCCACAATCTGAAGAATGTTGTGGTTTGCACTCAGTTCCAGTGCACCAATGTTTATATGAATATAGTCTTTCAGGAAATCTTCAGCAAGCTGTCTTACTTCTTTTGGCCAAGTTGCACTCCACATTAGGGTTTGTCTGTCAGGCTAAAGAATTTTGAATTAAAAACCCACAAGCCTTATAATTCTAAGAATAAACTTAGACTTGAAAAAAGTTTGAAAAAATTTATGTATGGATACTTACTCTTATCTGATCCACAATCTTTCTTATTTGGGGTTCAAAGCCCATATCAAGCATTCTATCTGCTTCATCAAGGACAAGGTAGGTGGTTCGTCTCAGATTTGTTTTTCCACACTCCAAAAAGTCAATCAGTCTTCCAGGTGTTGCAATGCAGATTTCCACACCTTCAATTAAATACATAGACTAAGACATCTAGAACTTTTCATAGTATCAGTGACAAAAAGAATCTTGTTACGCACCTCTCTCCAAATCTCGTATTTGTGGTCCCTTGGGAGCACCACCATAGATGCAAGTAGACTTCAATCGGCATGCTCTACAGTATTCAGCAGCCACTTGCTGCACCTGCTGGGCCAGTTCCCGAGTTGGTGCCAGCACCAAGCACTAAAGAGGAGCAAAAAAGTAGAGCAGCTTTTAGCAGAATCCTAAAGCCTACTTTTAAACTAATTATTATTTCAACAGATGACAATATCCAACTAAACCAAATAAGACAATTAGTATGTCTACATAAAATCACAAATTGTGTCTTTTGTTATATATTCTACAATATCTCCACACCAAACTCTGGCTAAAAATTGAAGAAAAAAATACTTACAATAGGTCCATCACCTCTCTCTAGGAACGGCTGATGATTGATGTGGACAATGGCAGGCAGCAAATACTATTTAAGGGGTAACAGAGAACAGAAGGTGTATTTAAAAAATGTCTGATTTCTTTTTATTCCCAATCCATTCCCTCCAAACATCTCAAAAATTCTCCAAACTTACGGACAATGTTTTCCCAGATCCAGTCTGTGCTACTCCAACCATATCCAATCCACTTAGGGCAACTGGCCATCCCTGAGCTTGAATAGCAGTGGGGTCAGTAAAGTTCTGTCTTGCAATCACATCCATGATGTTTGCTGCAATTAGTAGCAATTTAGAAAAATTAGTTATGCCAAGAGAAAGAAGGGCATTTTTTCAAAAGAAAGAAAACTCAAAACTAGCACTTACCAGGAAAGTTTGCTTCATAAAAATTCAGAACTGGCTTTGGGCAGTTGTGACCTCTAACTGTAATTTCCTTGCTTCTTCTGTATGTCTCTACCTCTTGCTACAAAACAAAACAATTTAGTTAAATTTCATGACAGTTCCCCTAACTAGTAAATCCCTAAGTTTATAAATGAATAGGTATTTCAAGATGGCCATTTTAAATCTGGATCCACATATAAAAAACGTCACTTAATACACAAAACACCTATTGTGCTATACATAACCATCGTAAGTAGAAAAATTCAAAGCTATCTGTTTCCAAAAGCGAGTAACACTTCTTTCCCAACAAATTATTAAGCATAAATTTCCTACAATTTGGTCATTTGGAAAACAAATTTTTTCTGATATTGATTCACTGTTATTTTTTAGTTTAAGCTTGAAGCTACATGAAATTACTCACCGCTGTGCGCCTGGCCAAATCAGGATGTTCTTGATAAAAATTCTTCTCAAATTTGGGCAGCTCGTCAAGATTCCACTTCTTTTTAACTAGTTTCTCCCCAGGGTTTCCAAACTTCTTTCCTGATAGAGGCCCTGCCCTACTTCCTCCAAATCGAGGTGCACCAAACCTGAAATTAATAACAAATAAAAAAACCTCAAGCTTTCAAATGCCTACATAGCAACCTTTAAGGTGTGCCAAACTACCATCCGCTTGGCACACCCTAAAGATCAATAAAAGACTTGTTGTAGTTGTGAGATCGAGCGCTGTTTTTAGCACCCCAGGTTTCATTTCCCGTTGCCCTAAGTACACACTACAGAAGCCAAGTCAATAGCCCAGGATTTACCAGGTCGGAAACTGGCTGCCCAAAGGCCAAAAGCTTAGATTACACGGATAGACTGCAGCTAGTGGCTACCAGTCTTTCCCACGAGCTCAGGAATTAAGTATCTGGGAGAGACAATACACGAAGGGAGGAGCTTAGCGGTGATATTCTTTACCAGCTGTTTTCAAGCCAAGCAGCTTTGGTTTTCATGAATAACAGGGCAGAACAGGCAAGGAGAGCAGAACGTGGACTGGGAGGGAAGAGGGGGTCTCTGGAACACTTATAAAAAAGCCAATTGAAATCCCGCGGAAGGGCTCTCGATATCGGTAGCAAAATTATATAACTAAAAAAAAAAAAAAAGGAGAGAGGAGGAGCCGGCGACTACCGGGGGAGGAGTCGCGGCCCGGGCGGAGTCGGCCGGGCGGCGTTCCCGCTGGGGCGGCGCTTCCCCCTTTGTCTCGCATTTCTCTCTGCGCCACATTTTCTCGCCGCTGCCATTTTGAGCTCCTCCGCCGGGCGGGGTAACAAAGGCGCCGCCATGTCCGGCAGCGGCATTTTGTGCCTGCGGCCCCGCCACATGGCGGAATCCCGTGGCGCCGGCCACCGTCCTGCCCCCGCCGCGCCCATGGCTTCGAAGGCGGCCCTCTCCGCTCCCACAGAATTCCCGGGGCCCCTAAAACGCCTCTCGGAAGTAGCACCTCGCAGCGGCGACTTCGCCCGCCTCGAAGCGTCGCCGTCTCTCCCCCTTTACAATCGTACGTTCCTCCGAATTCTCCTCACAGCGGCCTAGTCGCCGAGGCCCCGGAGCCCCGTCCCAAACTAAAGGCGAGGTTGACGGCCGTTAACAGAAAAAAATTTTCAGTCAGCTTTGGACAAAAATCGAAATGGCGCAATCCTTCGACGGATGAGGCCCAAAAATTCGGTTGAAAACCTATGTTCCCATCGCTATCCATCCCTCGGTTACCTCACCGGCCTCCCATCCCCCACCCAGTCGGGCCTGACAGGTCGGTTCCCACACTCACCCTCGATCCCGGCCGCGGTCGCGGTCGCTCGAGTAGCCCGACATGGCGTCAATGATTGCGGTTGGCGGGGAACGAAGCGGAGAGAATCGGGTGCGACGAGTCGCTGGAGGAGGCTTCGGCGATAGCGAAGCCTTGCGGGGGCGGCAGCGGCGGAGGGGCGGCGATGATAGAAGCCGGAGCTGCTCGCCTGGAGGCCGGTGGAAATGAATGAGGTGCCGGCCGCGTCCCGGCAGCCGGTTTTATAGGCTGGCCCGCCTCCTCTGCCGCAGAGGATGCTGGGAGCCGCTCTATGACCTAATCACCCCGCCCCTGCGCAGAGGCCGCAACGCCCGCCGGCGTTCCGGAATCCGCCATGTTCTCGCCCCTCCCCCCAACCCCTCCTCAGATTCGCCCGTTTTTTTTTTTTTGCCCTTTTCTTGGCTGGGCCCACCCACCACCGCGATGCCTCAGCCGGCACTCTCTTGTCTTCACCTTTTTCTCGTCTTTCTACACCTCGAGGAAGCCACACCACCCTTTTTCAGGTCCAGCCCAGGCGATAAAATGGCCAACACAAGACAACCCACTCCGCCTCCTCGGAGTTGTTTACGTCTCCAAAGAGCCTTCACGCCCAGAACCAAATGAGACGAGAAGGCGGAGCCCGTGTTTGTCACGTGGCTGCCCCGCCCACCGAGTGAGAAGGCCGCACTATTTCCTCAGTTGGAGTCGGCGGAAGGATACAAAATGAGAAGCGCACCGGAAGTGCCGCGCTAAGGCCGCACTGAGGCCGCACTAATGCCGCGGGGAGACCACCAGGGGCTGTTGGTGACCCGCTCTGTCAAGCCCACCGACCTGAGAATCCCTCAGCGCGATCTTGCCTGAGGAGAATAGTATCTAAGACCCGCAAACCGCCGCCTCAGCGCGCGCGGCGAGAGGAAGTGCCCCGATAACCAATCAGCAGCGAGAAGCCGTTTTACCGTTCCTCCCTCTCTCGCCCCTCCTCCCGAGTCTGTGCGCGCGCCGTGCGACCCTTCCCGGACACCGTCCCTCGCGCGCCCAGCTCGGAGTCCGGACGCCGCGACCGGCCTCCGCGACATGGCCGGCTCAGAGGCTGGTGAGTCTCGGTCTGGAGTCCGGGTTTGTGCGGACTAAAAGCCTTCCAAGTCCCCGGACGCCCTTGCCCGCTTTATATTGAGACCACAGGCCAGCTCTGCTAGGTCTGACTCCTGCCGATCTCCCGTCGTGTTGGGCATGTTCTCTGGATGGGGTCTCTCAGCCCACCTCTGTCCGACGGGAGTTCATGGGGTGCGATTTGGGTTTGGGGTTAGAGAAGGCCCGTGGTATACACCCACATCCTGGCAGCAGAAAGCAGTGGAAAGTTTCTGCCCCGGATTCGTATTTCTCTGCGGAATCCAGCCGCTGTCAAGGGGCTCTCTGCTCTTGCATTGTGGGGACTGAGGTCGTCCCTGCGCCTGAACTTACAAGGAATGGCGCTGACAGGAGACATCTGTCGGTGCCCCAGCCAAAGTAGAATGGTTGTGGGTTTTTCTCTTCAGTGCCCTAGGGAGTGACCGTCTTTGTGTAACACCGCTTTTGAAAGCGACTTGGTTTGGTTGTCTAGGACGCTTTCCTCCTCTGCTCCCGGACTGCGTTCAAACCACCAGATGTCATAGTTTGGTCATATGGGGAGAGGGAGATAATGTGTCTCTTAACACACAGTCACACACATGTCTAGAACATAATCGAATACAGAATAAAAATAACTTTCCCTTTAACCACCCATCACTTCAGGGAATATATTTCAAAGTTTTTAAGCTACCTCTGTCGAGAAACCTTAGAAATAACTTTGCTAATTCCAACAATATGGGTGGTGGGAGGGGTACACAGAAAATTTAAACAGTGTTGGCAATATGCTAATTCTTAGCTTAGGGACTTTTGGTGTGTATTTTTCCATATTTTCTTTAATATAACCAAATATAAAAAACTAACAAATGCACTAATGTTGAACAGCCTATGTCAATTACTACCTATTTGGACACCAGATTCTGTCTTGCACAAGTGGATAAAAAACTATAATGCTATTGGGAATTTGAAACAACATCCATTAATTAGTTTCTAGTAGCCTCAATATCATTAACAACACGTCTTGGGACATAATCCCATTTACTTGTAAACACGTTCTAAATAATAAAAAAACACACACATATGGCTTATAAATAGGAACTACAGTAACTAACAAGATTTTAGGTTCCAAACAGTGAATATTAGATTTGCATCATAGTTTTGAAATTATAGCAGTCTGGAAGACATTCCAAGACATTAAAAAATCATACCGTGGAGAGTCTTTGAAATTCTGTCATAATCAAATTTCTTATATAGAGTTCTATCCCTATTCTTTGTCAGTTTTGTGAGGATTGCTGTTTTAAAAATGTATGATTTTTTTCTAGTGCTATTTAAAGCTGAACTTTTCCCTATCTTTCCCAACAGAGTGGGTAACAGTTGCCAATAATCTTCTCCTGAAATGTCACATACACCTGAGGATACGTGAACTAGAAGATTGTGATGCTAATGTCTTTATTGCTCTTTATCAATCCATTTTGGGAGAAAAGGTACCAGGTAAGGATACTAAAAAATGAGAGTAATAATGTTTGTATCTTGAGCCAGAAGTTTCTAGTGTCTTTAGTTAGAGCCTATAGTATTTATAAAACCTTGAGTTTTCTCTTTGTCTACATGTTATTTCTTCTAAATTATTCCATTTATTTCTGTAAATAACAGCGTAGGTCAGATCTGTTTGACTGGTCTTGGTCATTGCTGTTTAATCTAATCATGCTAAATTCCCTGTGAAAGTCACACCTTTTCTGTAAATGTACCTTCAGAGGTCCTAAAATTGAGTGGAACTTAGATATTTGTCAGGTTCTCTTATTTAACCAATATTATGGATAAGAATTGGTATTTGTACTGTATCCTTGGACATTCAGTAAGCCTCCTTTCACACCTGTTGTGGGATTTTTTCTCATTGAAAGAGCCCATGATTATTAATTCAAGTCTTACCCTCATGTATTGCCTCACTTATTATCATACAATAATATCTAATATTGATTAGATCTTATATTAATAATATCTAATATTGCTAATTCCATGTTGTTGGAATTAGCAATACTAGAGGCCCGATGCTCAAAAAATCGTGCAGGAGTAGGCCTACCTTCCCCCAGCTGCCGGCACTGGTTTCCCTCTGGGACCCCGGCTTCCCTTCTCCGGCCATCCGCAGCCACCTAGGACCCGGGCTGGCTTCCCTCGGGCTGCCTGTAGGCACCTGGGACCCAGGCTGCTTTCCTCCTGGCACAGCTTTGTCAGGAAGGACATCTGGTCTAATTAGCATATTACTCTTTTATTATTATAGTAGAGGCCAAATGCATGAAATTTGTGCACTGGGGAGGGGTCCCTCAGGCCAGCCTGCCCCTTCTCACATACTGGGAGCCCTCAGAGAATGTCCTACTAATGGCTTAGGCACGCTCCTCACTGGGTGTGGACCTACGCTGCAGTCTGGCCTCCCTTTGTGGGAGGTGACCAGGCTGATCAGGGGAAAGCGCCAGCTTCATCACCCCACTGCTGCAGCCACTGCCAGTCACTTCAGCCGCCAAGGTGTTTTCATCAGCATGGACTCCAGTCCCTTCACCATGAAAATGAGGACATGTTTCCATTGATTTTTTCCCTTCCCTCTGATCCCAGGCTCAGTCCCTCCTTACCCCCGCCCCTCTGATTGTCAGCTCAGGCCGCCCAGGCTTTAGGCTTGGGCAGGCCCGCTCCCCAACCCTCTCATTGAAGACTTATATTGTATATAAAGCTAATATGCAAATTGTCCCCTTGGGAGTTTGACTCACTGGGAGTTTGACTATTCACTATGACGTGTGCTGACCACCAGGGGGTGACACAGAACGAAGGAAGGCCCCAGCCAGCAGCTGGGGGAAGGAAGGCCCAGATCTGGGGACCCTACCCATGCACCAATTTCATGCACTGGGCCTCTTGTGTTCATATATTTACTAAACTATATTCAATCAATAAATAGTCAACCAATAAATATTGTACTGTGTGGAATTTATGTATGCTCTGTTAACTTTATCTTTACTTTTAAAAACCTGTTCTATTTGGGACAGAGTTTGCTTTTGTGGTAGGTGAGCTTATTTAGAAGCCTAATCAGAGACAGATGAAAATGTGGACCCTCATAGATGCAAAATCATGTAGCTTTCTTCTCCTCTCCTCCCCGCAGACCTCATAACTAATCCCAGGAGTCAAGAGGATGAAGCTCACAATGTACAAGCAGTAATTGATTCTTTGGCCTTGGATTACCTGCAGGTCAGCTTGTCTCACATAACAGGTTGGTATATACTTAACCACCAGATAATTTTGCATTCTACTAACATAACTTGTTTAGAACCCTAGACATTGTTTAGCAAAATGACTAAGCTTATGATATAGACCAAACAACAAGAGTGAACTAAGACAGATGATGGGGTATAGTTAAGGCAACCACCATTGAAAACTTTTCTAGGACAGTCAAACATCATATATAATCCCATATAATAAAGAGCTAATAGTAAATGGTCATCACACCCTCATGCTATCATGGCTCAGACACTCAACATTGGGGAGAGAGAAATGGGGATCAGCCAGGCTGCTGCCTGGGAGAGGGACAAGCCGCCTGCTCTGCGGTCCTTGGTGCCAGCAGCTGCACTTGGGCCTGCGACTGGGAAAGGGACAAACTGCATACCCCGTGGTCCCGGGCACCAGCAACTAGGGCCTGGGCAAAGCCGCCCGCCCATGATCCCCTGCAGCAGCAGTTGCAGCTGGCCTGGGTCCTGTGTGCTTGCGCCGGCCAGAGGGAGGGAAACCTGGGTCCCGAGTGCCTGCAACTGGCCAGAAGAGGAAATCCTGGGTGCAGGGCAAGGCAGAGGCGGTTAGGAATGATCAAGCCAGCAGGAGAGCAGTTAGGAGCTATCAGGCCAGTAGGGGAGCAGTTAGGGGTGATCAGGCAGGCAGGCAGAGGTGGTTAGGAGCATTCAGGCAGGCA